GAATATAGCATGACTGTCAGGAAGAGATTGTTTTTACACTGTTTTTCATGGATTCAGGGGAAGTGGGAGGCAAAAGGATCCTTTAAGAGGAAAATTTCCTTTCCTTAAAGAGCTCTTTGAAAAAAACATTGTTCATCTCTTTAATTGGAATAGGTGCCTTAGCACGAGCTTCTGGTGCCCAACACCAAACATAAGAAAGATGTTGCATCCTGGGCTCCTGCGAATCACCACGTGGGACCAGTGTATATTTTACTGGAGTGTTCATTTTCTGTGAACCATGTTTGCTCAAGCTGTGACAGCTGCTGGTTTGGCTAGGCCAGAACTGACGTACGGGTGGTGCAGTACCACTAGTGATCTGACGATGGCAGCATTGGGCGACCTATCTCACTGTCCTTAGCACCTGCGGTGAGAGCAGTCCTGCAGCTTGTTCCACAGCGGTGTTTGGATTTCAGATTGTCACTCAGACTTTCTTCTGCTTAATGACTGTGTGTATGCAAATGACTTTGCTCTTTTCTGTGGAAGAGGTCCAATCTGTCATTATTGTTTTGGTTTTCAGTTAATGATTATATGTAATTATAATTCAAATAAAATATTTATAAATAATTACATGTAATTAGTGGTATATAAACCTTGGAATTCATGAACATCAGCTTTGATGAAAGGTACCCTTCAATTTGGGAGGTGTTAGTCTTACTATTATTATTTGTTTCTATTTAAAAGACATTAGTGGCCAAGAATCTGCAATTGTCTTTCACTGGTGTTTTTACAAGATTCAGGGTTTTTTTTGTTTGTCTGTCTGCTTTTTAAATAATAAGTAGGATATTTATTTGGTAAATCACTAGGGAATTATAGATCTCAACATCTGTAGGATCCTCTAAGGAAAACAAATGATATTTTTCTTTAAAATTTCAGAAACAGTTAGTTACCGTTGAATTCTGAAAGGTCATCAAGGGGTCACCCAGGTCAGTTCTAAGCAGGCTCTGCAGTTACCCCCAGACCGAAGACATGTGCGGTTGCCCTCTCCTCCCCATTAGTGACCACAACCAGGGCAGCATGCGTTTTGAGGTCTCTACCACTACTGAAAACAGAAAAAGGAAAATTATTCTGAGTCAGTCCGTAATTCAAATTTTGCCAATACCTGAGATTCAGGTATATTTTACCATTTTCTCTCTATCTGTTAGCCACATGTGGAGCTGCAAATGGAAAACGGTCTCAGAGCAACAGGTCTTAATTCCCTGGGCACAGTGGGCTGCAGAAGTAGTTTCTAGGCACCTTCTGTGGTTGAGGACCATAGGAAACCAAAGGGAAAGGTAGATAGAGGGAATGAGCAGATGGAGCTGGGTGAGGTCAGAGTTTTAGGAAGGACTCTCAGGCAAGGTATGGGGCCAAGAATGTTCCTAGTGATGAGGAGCAGAAGGCAGTGACTCTTTCCTCTGAGGTTGCCCTGATTCTAGAAGCATGTGGACTAAAGACACACTGGTAGACTTAGCTTTGAACCTTGAGTTGACTTGATGCAGACCTTTTAATTCTGCCTGAAATTGGATGGGATGTCAGATCTATGTGAAGGTCTATGTGAAGATCTGTGTAGCACACCAAATTTTCTTAGGGCTCCCTCAGCCTGTTTTGATTTGGGTCATGATCGTGACTACGCATTATGTAGGCACCGGTGTAGCATAAGGAAAATGCTCTTAGTAGGCTGATCTGAGTGCTCCTGTAAACGTCTCCGTATGTGTATTTTGCAGGCTTTAGAACATGACGACATCTCCCCCACCCCCACAAACACTTCTGTATGCAATGTTCAGGCTCCAAGAATTCAATTCATGTGCTATAAATGTGATGTAAGTTAAGGAAATCAGCTGAAGACAAACCAGGAAGATGCTATAAGGTTCTAATTTTCCTGTTTGACTTATACTTCTCCATTTTTTGGTTATAAGGGAAAATCATGCACCATTAATCTTTTACCTAGAAACTTTAAAATACTGAGCTCTAGATCTTTTCAATGTCACCACCTAGACTGGTCTTGAGTAAATCGCTTTACCTCCTTAAACTTGAGTTTTCCTTTTGATAAAATAGGAGGCTGAGCTTTGTCTTCTTGTTTTACAAGTGTATGATCACTCCTCTTCATTGTGCCCAGCAGCATTGTGTGAGTTTTTTTGGAGGACAGACTTGAGGGCGATATTTTAACTTTTCAAAACATATTTACATCTCTTAGTGTAGTTCTTCTTATGAGAGGCCTCTATGATATTCCTTCTCCAAATCCCCTGCTACCTTCGGCCCAAGTCTGTTTAAGTTACTCAACTTTCTTGTCTCTAGGCTGCCACTTCTTTCTGACTGGTTTCTTTGCTTTCACTCCTGCACCTCTACAATCTATTCTTTACCCATCATCAGCATGATCTTCTGAAAACTAAATCAGAACATGTCTCTCCACACCCAAAACCTTTCAGTGATTTCCCAGTGTCCTTGGAAATGCAAATCTACTCCTGCCTTAGGGCCTTTGCACTTTCTCTGCTGGGAACACTCTTTCCCCTAGATCAGCAATTTTCAACCTTTGTGCTTTGAGAATTTTTAAAACATGCAATAAGTGACTATCAGTCAGAGGAACTGGCCTCTTTTCCCTTAGATTGTCAAATAAAACAAGGACAACAGCCAGCACAACAATAGCAGTCTGGTGGGAATGAATCAAAATCATACCTATTTTTTTTGTCAGATTGACAAAATATAACATATATTGTCAGATTGACAAATGTAATATATTTTTTCGTGTGCCACAGATTTTTAGTAATGAGTTTATGAGTGCCACAGATGAAGAAGGTTGAAAATCGCTGCTCTAGATCTTTGCACAAAAGGCTGCTTTTCTAGCAGTTTAAATATTACTCCTTCAGAGAGGCCTTCCTTGGCCTCTCCATCTAAAATAGCTATGTCTTTTGCTTAATGTCTGACACGTTACATGGTTTTATTTATATAGCATATTCTACCTGAAATTATCCTGCATATTGATTTTTGTTGTTGCTATCGTTGTCTGTCTCATCTCAGTATAGCCTATATGCTTCATGGGAATGGGGGCTTGTTGCCTTCTTCGCTGCACATCCTTAGCAGCTAAAGCAGTCTAGCATATAATAGGTGCTCAAGGAGTATTTGTAGAATAAATGAATGAATGTCGTCGCAGGAAGGAAAACTGCATGCTAGAGAGGTTGTGCTCATGTAGCTAATTAAGAGTTGGGCCCAGACTAAACTCGGAGCTCCTCATGTTTCTTTCTTCCAGGTCATACTGCCACACAACAGACCTAATGAGAGATAATTCTTTCATTCACTACTTGTTTATTTATTCACCAGATGTTTATGGAGCTCTCATTATGTTTCAGACACTATGCTGTATCAGTGGTTCTCAACCAGGCGTGATGTTGCTCCCCTGGGAACATTTTTCAATGCGTAGTGTCATTTGTGGTTGTTACAGCTGGGGTGGGGGGTGCCACTGGCATCTAGTAGGTAGAGGCCAGTAAATATTCCATGACATGCTGGACCCCCCCACCCCCCTCCAGTAGAGAATTATTCAGCCTACAATGCCAGTAATGCTGAGCTTGGGAAACCCTGTTCTAGATGAACAGACTGCTACCTGTTCCCATGGAGTTTATAATTTATGGTAGGAAGACAGGTGACAAATAGTACACACCATACAAAAGTAAATTGAAGACCATGTCCGAAAGTGGTATGATGGAAGAGAAAGAAAAGTCAGGACAGAGGAGGCTGGGGGGTACCGCAGGTGATGGGGGTGGGAAGGGCTGTACTCTGAGCTTCCTTGAGAGGTGAACCAGGAAAAGAGAATCTGCCTCTGGGGTTTTAGCTCCGTGACCTGGACTAATTGGTCCTTTGGGTCCAGCCCGGTGCTGCAGGACATCAGCCCACTCAACCCAGATCACCCTCACTCTGGAAAAACGTGAAGCTCTCCTGAACTGAGGGGCCTGTTAACCTCCACATAAAAATAGAGCAAACTGCCATGGGCAAGAAACATTAATTTCTGCCCCTTTTAAGGAGTGTTTAAATTTTCCTCTTTCTCAACACTTCAGCACACTATGATCACTAATGCAGGATAGTGTTAATTTGATGCAAGTTTTATTGCTCATTGTCAGCTTCTCACTTTTCTCTCAAAACAAAAATGGTGTGATTTAAGCCTCTCTCAAGGGCATTGTGAGTTTTTAGTGTGCAGAGGTTTCTGTCTGTCTAGGTTAATTTCCTCAACTCAACAGAAATAATTGTAGATTTTAATATCTTGGGAGAGCTGTAATATCTAATAGTTGAAGCTGATAAAACTCAGGTCAATGAAATGGTTCTTATGATTATATATATTTATATACGTATTTATTTATACACATATATACATTGTGTATGTATGTGTGTGTATATAAATTGATTACATTTAAGATCTCACTGACAAACATACTAAAATTGTTGTTTTGGTAGTTTGGTAAGCATGTACTTACTTTATTGGTCTCTCTTATTTCTTTACCAAGATTGGAACCCTGGAGGTACTCAACAAATGTCTGTTGAATTAATGAACAAATTGCAAACATCAGTTTGTGATTACTAGGTTCTAAGTTATTTTTTCACATGTACATGAACTCACTTATATCACCAAAATACAACTTAATAAATATCATATAATAGCATATTCTTACAACATTATTACTGTGACATATTCATTTATTTCTAAATCTGTATTCTTTTAATTTTTAAAATTATTGCATAGGATCTGATTTGACTCATGGGTTTCTGAATCTGGTAAGCATAAGACTTTTGGTAGTAGATACCTTTTCTGTATACCTACCTAGGAAAGGATTATCAAGTAAGAAAATAGATTTCAATAAATGTTTTTGATTCAAATATATGTGAACTGGCATTGTTGAAGAAATTACGGACAGTGCACCATTTTATTTTGGGTGCTATTTTATTCTATAGAAGCACTTGTTGACCAGTTTACTGGATGTGTGTTGATTTTTTTTCAGTGCTATTTCTTTACAATTGAGTTTGGCCTGTGCAAGCAAGAAGGGCAACTGCGGGCATATGGAGCAGGACTACTTTCTTCCATTGGAGAGTTAAAGGTATGAAGCTGTGAATGAAAGTATCCTCCCCAAGCAAACTGGTTCAAGGTCATGGGAAATATTGATTTGTGTGTCTGCACTTTTCTACTTGCAGATACTCCATAAATATTTAACACAGAGGAGTTGGCACCTCAGCTGTGGGTGCTGACCTAACTTTTTGCTCTTCTGAAAATGGGTCACGCCTTTTCAGGTTTGTGGTGTGACTCAAATGGATGGATGAGCATCTGTGCGCACAGCCAATGGGAATGACAAATGCATGCTCAAATGTTTGCTAACAAATGACTGCCCCACATTTAGTGCTGAACAGTAAGCAATGAACTCGTAGTATTCTACTGATTAAAATTTCCTCGTAAGGTTGCCTTGACTACTCTCATTTCTGTCAACCCCCAGCTTCCAGGGACTCCCCAGTATTTAATTTCCAAGGGGGAATTCGAGATTATTTTAGCTTCTTCAAAATTAATGTGTATTAAAACATATGTGGACATATACAATTTAGAAAAAATCTAAATAAACATATGGTCTGAGAGGTATCTCATATGTGGAGCAATGCCTAAAGGATGCTATTTTTGTGCCTTAAAATACAGTAATGTTACCATTTATTCAGAAATGCTGGGGCCTGAGGTATCTGATAATTTAAATATACTGGTTACTTAACAATTACTATCTATACCATTGGGGATAGCAAATTTTGATGAATTTAGAATGAAATGTGAAATATAATCTGGAAATGGTACTAAAATAATTTTATCTTTTTTTGAGTATTCAGGCTAAGATCAGGATTATGGACTATGTTAGGGTTTGAGTTTTCTTAGAGTATTGATTGTTACACAATATAATTAGGAAATATATGGTAATTGGAACTTTTTGTTTTTTCTGTTCTTGGAAGATGTACTTTATAATTTTATCAAGTCCTCTCAATTATGACCCCATTTATTCTTTCCCCAAACATTTGGTTGAGCACCTAGTATGTGCTATGTACTGTGTCGACTCACCAGGGAATACAAATACAAATAATAAAGATGAAGAATAAGAAGTATAAGAAAATGACAACTACCTCAATGGACACTTAAATAGACCTTACTATTTTCAGTGATTTCACTATATAAGCCCATTTAATCCACAGAAGAACACAAAGGGATAAGCATTACTATCATTACAGATGAGAAAGCTGAGGCATAAAGTCATTAAGAAACTTGCCCGAGGTCACACAGCTGGTAAGTGTTGGAGCTGGACCTAATAAGTCCGGGCTCCAGAACCTGAGCCCTTACCCAGGAGGCCACATTGCCTGGGGTCCTTGTTATTAAGGGGTTTACATTCCAGTTCAAGAGATGACAAGCAGGTATGGCAAATGTGCCTGGAACAGATGGGGCCATGTTTGGAAAGACTTCCCGACAAGGGCCCAGCTGCCCAGGCTGATTCACGAGTTGTGGAGTGGGTGCCCACTGGAGAGGATGCGGTAAGGCAGACCAGCCACTGCACGGCGCTGAAGGCACTCTGGTCAGATCCACCCCACTTGGGGGACTGCCTGAGGTTTGGCATGGCTGGAACACAGGTCAACATCTAACAACAAAACCCTGATATAATGTGGTGAAATATTTCTTACTAAATTCTTAACAAGAAGATCCATCTGGCGTGAATCTCAGCACCGCGGCCAGAGCCCACAGCAATGGCAGGATGTCACGTCCGTGAAAGACCGGAGCCTTCGACGGGGTGCTTTTTCATTAGCCAGAAAATGATGCAGCTCTTGAGCTACATCTATTTACATTCTCCTCAGAGGACTTATAAATTACACCAGAAACAAAAGAAACAAATCTCTCTCATTGCCCCAACTTTCGACAGGGTCCTCTGATCCGGTTAATGAGGCATGTGTAGGCAGCATTGGGGTGAATCTGTTGTTTTCGTTTCTATTGGTGCGGGTGGAATCGTCTAGAGATGGAAATCAGCCAGAAATATGTACACCGAAGGGCACTGTCTGCCATGAATCTTCTTGTTCTGGTCCATCACCTCTGGTCATTAGCATTCTTCCATTCTCAAATTTCAACACTCTAACATCCTTATGATTGCTACTTTGGACCATTTTTACAATTCAGGAATTCTTCCTATAAGAAATATCTTCTGATTGTTCACCGAGAATACATAACATGATGTAGGTGATGTCTGTAGCCCCTCCCCTGCCCTGCTCCTGCAGCGTCCTGAGCCTTCCCAGCACTTCTGAATACTTCAGTCTAACTTTTATTTAAATGAACAAATGATCGTTCTTGATCTAGGTAGAGACAACTTTATTAATAGCATTATAATAATTACGTGTAGACATGCTTACAATTTTGAATCTAGTGACCTTATGTAGTAAAATATTTTTGCTGTTCTCAGCTAAGTTGTTGGAGGGTTTGGTGTGGTCTTTACAACTTTTACATAAACGTCCACAATTCACGGTATTACCTTGAGCAGAACATATTTTAAAACTTGTGCTTTAAGAGGCTAGATTTTGGGGGCATAGATGTTTCACTTCAGAACTGACCAAGTATTTCCAAGTAGTTTATCTATAGTTTGGAGGATAACTTTCATTTTTTAAAATAACAACAATATTTTCATTTTTGTTTTATAATTTTGACAGTGATTATTTTTATATTTAAAGACAGAAAGAAAATATATGGAAAAGCTTGTAAAGGCTAACATAAATATGATAACCATAAAGACTACTTTTTTTTTTTGAAATTTTAGCAATGGATAATCTCTCTTTTCTTCCAATTATCTTTCAGACATTCTAAAAGTGTGTTTGGGTAGGGCCTGCCCTTCCCTTCATCACTGTGGAAAGCAGTTAATAATGAGCTAAGTTACTTGGAAAACTGACTTTAAAAAATGATGAGTCAAAAGGCAGACCCATTTTTAGTTTTCTGAGGAAATTCCATACTGTTTTCCATAGTGGTTGTACCAGTCTGCATTCCCACCAACAGTCCACTGGGGTTCCCTTTTCTCTGCATCCTCTCCCACACTTGTTTGTTGCTTTGTTTATGATGGCCATTCTGACTGGTGTGAAGTGGTATCTCATTGTGGTTTTAATTTGCATCTCTCTGATAGCAATGCTGAAGCATCTTTTCATGTGTCTCTGGATCCTCTGTATGTCCTCCTTGGACAGGGATCTAATCAACAAAACAAACAAATAAGCAAAATATAACCAAAGACACTGATATAGAGAACAGGCTGACAGTGACCAGAGGGGAGAGGGGACAGAATTTCAAGGGAAAAGGGTAAAGGGTTGGCAGGAACAAGTATAAAGGACACATGGACAATAACAAGAGAGGGGTGGAAATGGAAGGGAGGTGAGGAGGACTAGGGGGGTGGGCTGGGATGGGAGTAAAAGACAGAAAACAACAATGAACAACAAGTAAAATAAAAAAATAAAATTAGAAAAAGAAAAAAAAGAGGTTAAAAATAGCATGATTGGCTGCCATCATCCACAGTCTAGCTTGTGTCTTTGCTTTCATGCTCTTTTTCCCTCTGTCCCAGAGTTGACCTGGGATATGTCTTTCATTTAAAAATTTTGTTATTCACCCATTCATTCATTTTATTCAAAAACCCCAAATTGAAGGTCACAGAGTTCAAAGAAGTTGGAGTCTGTGGTAGGGCAGATCTAAGAAATTAATTCATAGGAGTCTTTGTTGAATGTGGTTCTTTTGTAGAAGCAACGATGAAGTTTCTTCACATTAGATACTAAGGGAATGACTGCTAATCGATGAATTGGTGAGTCTTAGCTCAATAAGTTAATGCATCTCAAGAGAAAAAAAGCAATTTCTTCTTTTACCCCCATGGGTAATGGTAAATAAAGTCTAGTACTTTATTTCGTGAAGGGCAGAGATTAGATTTTTTTTTTGTAAATGGGTTTAGCACTGACCCTGTAGTAGTTGCTGGAATATTACATATAAATATATATTTTTGCTTTGGTTTTAGGGTAGCCTTGCACAGTGAATTTATTGTGCTGCTTTTAAAAAAATATAGCTGTTAATCAGCATTCACAGAACAGGTTTATATTTATAACCGTGATTTGTATTTACCACCACTTACAGCAACTCCGTGAGAGTCAGGATCACTGCCAGGCTGTCAGGAAGAGGGTTCTCTGAGGTCATCTGGTACAGTGGCAGTGTGGCTGGAGTGAGGACTACAGTTAGGACTTGCTGCTTCTGAGCTCCCATGCCTTTACCTGTTGGGAACCGCCCTGACTGGTATCAGAAGCTGAAACCCCCGCCTAAGCTAAGGCTAAGGGAACGCCCTTGGAACTGTAAGCCAGCAAGGAGACAAAAGCTTATCTTCCTGGCAGGAATGCTGCTTCTGCTGCTTTATTCATGACTGAACCCCCAAAAGCTTGGTTGGTTAGCCAAAGACGGGTAAGATTCCCCACGGGGGGAATGACCTAAGCCAGGCACGATCACTTTGGGAGGCCCCCCCAAAAGAAGGACTTGGGGGGGGCTGCAGCAAAAGGGGGTGATGGACCCTCGCTCCTCGGCTTTGACATAGCCTGAGTTCTCATCGTCTGGGAGAAAATCTCCTTATCTCTTGGTTACCTAGTTCCCTTGCTCCACCTAAGCCTGAAAACAATGACAGGGTAGTACAGCTCGGTACTGAGAAGTGCGGATTTCCCGGGGTGATCAGGCCTAAGAAAGAATATGTAAATTACTGTGAAACCTCCTTTGTTTAGAATGCTCTCAGTTGAATGAGAAGGGTCTTAGGAGGAAGTTAGTTTGTTCCTCAGTCTTACAGCTCTTTGACCCCCAACTCAATAGACGGGCAGAGTTCTTTGTTTTCTATAGTTCCTTACTTGCCCCTAATGAGTACTGTACTTTACCTGAATTATTATGCAAAATGAGCCTAATAAAATCAGCGCGCTCGCCACTAGGGGGGGTGGCCATTTCATCCCTACTTCCCCACAGAAACTAGCTTGTCTCTGTGCATGTGGTGTTTTTTCTTGCGTGTGTTTCGGCGAGCCATCCACAGCGTTCCGTGGCCACTGCTGGCCGGTGACCCACGCGCAACATTTACCCTGCTCAGCTGGCTCTTGCTTCCGTCTTCCTCCTCCCCTTTTCTTTCCTGGAGGAAAGGAAATAATGACTCGTAATAATGACAGAGAGAATGCCTGTGCATTGGGAGCTGGAAACAGGTCTTTGGCCTTTGTGAAAGGATTGCATGAAGAGAGAATTGGTTCCCTCACCCCTGTAGTTTATTCAAACTGATGAAACTTTCAATGTCACTGATACAAAGAAAATAAAAAGGAGTGATGCCATCATCCCCCAATTTGGCAATAGGAATGTCAGTGCCAAGTCATGCTTGGTTAGCAGGAGGGACATTTGAGGGAGGATAAAAATATAATATACATATGTACATATGTGCATATACATATGTATATGTATATATATATATATATTTTATATATATATATAATTCCAATGTGGGAAAACTGATTGTAGTGTGAATGTAAAGGTGCTCATAGATTTATTTTATTCAGAATTGTGGGCCCAAACCTACCTATAAACCTGTCTTCACTCTTGAGTTTTCCCCCAACTTTAACCAGTTCTAATATAGAAAGCGAGGGTCACGGGGTTTATATCTGGAATAGTTGAGATAATAACACTGAGTCAATGCAGAGGTGGGTGGCTGGGAGGAAGGGGATTTTACACTGATGAACTCAGAGCAGGCCCTGCTACCGTGTCGGGCCTGGAAGACTTAGAGCGAGGCCCACGCTTCCTTGCCTCTGAGTTCTAGATCCCTGGGGTAGAGGAGCTGCCCCGGTGGTGGCAGTTGTGGCTGAATTCATATCATCTTGAGACCAAATTAGCAATGATAAATATACTGAGCACTTCTTATGTGCCAGGTACTTCACATGCATTACCTTGTTTAATTCTTACCGCAGCCCCGGGCTGCAGTTACTATTAGGATTCCCATTTTCTGGATGAGCACTGGGACAGGTTTACAAAAGTGGAATAAGTTGCCCAAAGTTGTGTAGGAACTTTAGGTGACAATTGGGAAATTTTGGATGTTGAAAAGATACTTTTTAATTTAAAGGGCTGGAATGGCAAATTAATCTTAATTTGTACTCTACAGCCAATTAATTAGGAATGGCCATCTCGGTTGCAAAGGATGGGAAAGGCGTCTCTGGCCCATTCTCGCTGGCTGGGGTGGAGGGAGGGGGTGGTGGTGTGGGCGCTCTGTATTTGTAGGTGCTGTTAAAATTGTATTGCAAGAAGAACTTGAGAATTCACAGAGGTCAATCTTTCCAGTTTATTGAAGAAGAAACTGTGCCCCAAACTGGGAATTTTTCACCCATGTGATACCAGGCCTCAGGGACAGCTTTGTTTAGAACGCAAGTCTCACGTTCCCCAGTCCTGTGCCCAAGTCTTTGCATTGTGGGTAACTCCAAAGCAGTCCTTTTAGGTGAGAGGAGGAGATTCTCAAGCTTTCTTGCATTTTTAAAATGGCATGGGAGTAAAAGGCTGCCTGCCAGACCCTCTCAGCCTTACAAAGCCCCTCTTTACAGAATAAGGTTGGATAAATTCTTGCAGACTGCAGCGTACCCACAGGAAGGACTCACCATGGTGTCCCTGGGACCTCTAGCAGTTTGGCTGGATATTTACAATGAAGCTACTCTGGACACAGGGGAGTGGAGATGATAGCTATTCTCCCAAACTCAGCAGCTTAGAGAGAGACATGGATAGTAGTTGAAGAGCAAACTCAGTAGGACTTCACTGGAGTGGACAGTGGGCTTTGGAATCAACGGGGACATGCATACTTTTTATATCCCCTGGGCCGCGCCCCAGTATTCAGAAACAGGGGACCTCACGGACTGCGTGGATATCGCTGGTGGTCATCACACAGGGGAGATCCCCATCAGGTAAATGAGATCATTGATAGGTGTGATCACAACTTCATTGGTCGGCATCTCTCACTGGCTGCTTCCCCAACGCCAGGCTCTTGTCATTCTGCAGGCTAATCCTTGGGTACCATTATCATCCCTATATTTGTAACCAGAATATTGGACTCTGCAGGCTCCTGAGGATAGACTGCGTTTTTGAGAGTTTAGAACAATCAGCTTCCAGTGTTTCCTTTGACTACTAAGCAAGGCAAGTGTGATATGTATTGCCTAAAGGTCTTTGTCTCAAATTATATGCTGTGGGTCCACTGACTTTTCTTGACGTCTGGTGCAGAGCACCCTGACCTCTGGGATTTTTCTTGCTCTATTCTCATTCCCTTTACCAGTGAAAATGACTAAACAAGCTCATCTGAGTATCCAGTGGAGTCATCACATGATAGATTTTTCTGAAACTACGCTGACTCCAGTCTCTGTTACTGCATACACACATTCTGGGGGCATCCTCTACATGTGGTGACAGTTACAGTTGCTGATTTCCTATCAAGGCATTGCAGACCCTAGCAGAGGAGTTTCACCCCTTCCTGTGCTTGGCCTAGACTCAGCGAACAGTCTGTGGCTCAACAAGGATAGCCCAGGGGAGCTGTGCCTTAAATGTTCCTGTGGCCTGCTCTGTTTCCACTCTGCCCGTGCTCCTGAATGTGGAACTGAGAGAAAGATCAAGGACATTGTCAGTCACATTCCTTCCTTTAATATGTGCTGATTGATGAATGGGCAATGAGAGAAACATACTAAAGTAGAATGCTTCCAGCGTGTATGGCTGCAAAGAAAGCAACTTCTAATTCTGAAACCAGAGACAAGCCAGCAGGAGGCCTATTCTTCGCCAAGGAGCAGCAGCTCTCATAAAAGGACATTTTGTTTCTTGAAACTGAAGTTGTTTTAGGAATGTGGACAGAATTATTAGTCACGTGGAATGTAAATCCCCCGACACCCACTGCATGGCATCGACTCCAGCTCAAACGCATTTGCAGGTGCAGTGACCTTTGCTTATAATGAAGCTGTTTGTGGGCCCAAAAAATGAGTTTGCTGCGAGAGGCCCTCTGCATCCCTGATTCATACATGCAGTGATCTGGACAATGAACTTGTGAGAAAGCACGTCACAGGGTGCGGTCTTGTGCCCTTTCTCTTTCATATCAGTTCTTTGGTTTACAATTATATTTTCAGATGTAGGAAATCACAGCCTTCTCCGTGGAAGGCCGCAAATCATTCCATGTGTTTTGAAATTGTGGGAGGAACACACCAAGAATACTGAACAGGAAAGTTTTGTCAGCATTTCTCTAGGAAACCTCAGCAGTTAGAGATTGAGAAGGTAGAAGCATGCTTTCTGTGGAACCCAGAGGCTGCAATAGAAATTACATAGCCCAAACCTCTCGCTGCAGCTGAGGAAATGCAGGCAGAGAGGCGAGGTGATTTGCCAAAACGACCCAGTTAGGCAGCAGTGACCCCTGGACCAGAGCCACGTTTCCAAACTCCCGCTTCAAGGCAGTTTCTGCTTCCCCTTTTCTTTATCTCCCAACTGATTCACCCTTGAACTTAAGAAGGACACAGAATCTAGTGGTGTATTTATCAAAATATAGTTCACAATCACTTATGTCTGAGTCACCATGGATGCCCTTAAAATGCAGATTTCTGGGGATTTATCCAGACCTACCAAATAAAATCAGTATCTGCATTTTCACAAGCTCCTTAGTGATGAAATACACATTCCATTGGAGAATCACCGATTCAGGGCCTATAAATAGGCAGGTGGCACGTGGCAGGAAATGACCACTAACTTACAGCATCGCTGAACTTATCTTCAGAATCTGATCCTTCATTGGTCCTTGCTGCTCCTCAGGCCGGTCACGTAGTGAGCTGAATGAAGCTAATGATGGTTCAAAGAGCAATTAGGTTGGCTTTCCTGTTTTCCTAACGCCTGCTCTGGGCACAGCTATAACTATTAATATTAGCTCTTTTTTTCCCCACCTGGAAATATTTGTCTTCTGTATATTGCTCTGCTGTGCTTGGTGGAAGGCAAATGAATGCTTTGCAAATATCCTCAAATATGCAGGTCCACTCCAGATGCTGTTGATAAACAGTACCTGGCCTCAAAATGTCTCTCAATGAGTATGCAAGTAGTTTAGTCAGAGTCCCAATTACCTCTCCACGCAGGTAATTATTACTTCTGCCATTTAAGTGAAATTTCGGTACATTGCTTATAGAAATAAATTTAGGACCGTATTTATGCTATCCATGCTTCTATTCATAGCACAGATTTAAAATTCCTTTTCTGTCAGGTTACAGCTCTGAACTGTTCTTCAGTATGGATTCGGCCGATAATAAATAAAAGAATACCATAATCTCATTTTTTTTCTTTTAGCACCTAACAGACTTAAAACAACAACAATAACAACAAAATCCCCTAACACTCCATTTACCCCGCATATGGGAGAATTCCATATTTCATGGCAGACTAGTAACTGAACATTTCTGTGAAATTATTGAGCTATGTGTAGAAATGGGCCATCATGGCACGCTGGAAGTCTCACTGCGGCGTTTGACGGGTTTTGCGGTGTGTTTTGCAGCATGCTCTTTCTGACAAGGCATGTGTGAAAGCCTTTGACCCGAAGACAACTTGCTTGCAGGAATGCCTTATCACCACCTTCCAGGAAGCCTACTTTGTTTCAGAAAGTTTTGAGGAAGCCAAAGAAAAAATGAGGTAAGCTTGTTTTTCTGCCATCTAGAGAAAATAACTTATTTTTCTGGCTCTGTTTCTTTGTTCTGTCTCTTATACCAATAAGGGATGATCGCATATCTTTCTGTTTCTGTTTATTTTGCAGGGACTTTGCAAAGTCAATTACTCGTCCCTTCTCAGTGTACTTCAATCCCTACACACAGAGTATTGAAATTCTGAAAGACACCAGAAGTATTGAAAACGTGGTGCAGGATCTCCGCAGCGATCTGAACACAGTGTGTGATGCCTTGAACAAGATGAATCAGTATCTGGGGATTTGATGCCTGGGAACAGTATTGCTGCCAGCATGATCTTTTGGGGGGCTTAGCAGTCAATGTCATATAACACCAATACCTGTCTGTGTCATGGCTTGGCTAGCAGGCATGCAATTATGTATATCTCTACCTGCTTGTAACTTACTGTGCTAATGTGTGAAACACCATTAAGAACCCAGTGACAGGTAACCACTCATTGTAGGAAAGATTGTAATATGTTTAAATGTCTTAAATTGATTTGACATTCCTGCTTAGTGTCTTTAACCAAACTGCATCTATTTAAAATTTGTAACAAATAGCCCTCTTATGATTCTAGTTGATGACCTTTTCTTTCTCAGATCCGAGCCTTTCTTTCCTCTGTGTTTGTTAGATAAAATGAAAATAGCAGTGAAACTGTCCCTGCTTTCGATAGCATCAGTACTTTCACAGCATTATTGGAGAGAAACCCAGAACTGTATGAAACTTCCCATCGTGTTAACAATATTCAGGATTCTGTTCAGAAATTGTTGAGGTAACACACCAGTTGGAATGACTTCTAGGTTGAGTATTTACACAATGGAAAAGAAGAAAGCTTTTAAGAAACGGGATATATAGGTTGCACTGACCTTGTAGAAACTTGAGCTGTGGCACGCTTCCCAAGGCATTTCGGAAGGAAATACTTCCATAAAGGGCATTAGGAAAGACTAAACAGTGGGGAATAAATCTTGGGACTATCAATTTTATGCTGGAATAAAGTGAATTATCATGCTGAGGTGTTTAACTTATTTCTTTTAGAGAGCAATAAAATCATAGAGCTTTGCTTTCAATGATGTGGAAATTGAGTCTCAGAGAGGTTAAGTGATTTGGTTGAAGTAGCACAGTTCGTTCCAACATTTACAGCCCATTGCATATTGCTTTTTGGATTGCTAAGAAGCTTAACTCGATATATGCATGTATTTATATGTAGTCAGAGAAGGAAACTAATGCTTATCGAAACCAAAGCTAACGTTTATCACTGAATAGGACTTCATTTGTGATTAAAATTTGCCGACAGTACAGATGTTTCCTCTCACAGGCCCAAACCAAGCCAGATCCCCCGGAGTCTGTCTACTTGTCTAAAGTTTGGGCACATTTGGGCAACATAATAGTGATACTACCACAGATCTCTGGTCACGCTTGCCATAAGAGGCATAATCAGGTGATTGAGTGGAAAAATAAAAAAATCTGCAGAATAAGTGAATGAATTTCATCTTCTGATTTCTTCAACAAACACAGCGCTGTTTCCCTCATTCTGCTTTGGTCGTGCAGAATCCCAGGGGGAGACAGGACAGACGGGAAAAAGTACAGAAGGAAAAGATGAGGAAATTACTTTTAAGTTAGCAGTTCTAAAATAATTGCTGGAACAATTTCCAAGGATACTCTTTTAGTAATAAATTACATATAATTTCAAACTACTTCTTACTCTTACCTGGGCCCACGATGAGACAGGCATTTTTGGACTGAACATGTTCAGGAAGAACACGAGGAAGCATTAAAACATACCTCAGAGAGAGGGAGAATTAAAATGAAAAATCAGAGGTTTGAATATTAGTTATCTTAACTATTGAGGATCTTTCTTTTCTGCAGGATTCTAAGAACAACTGAGTTTTTGAGAAAGGATTTGGTGGCTAGCAGGTGAGAGTCATGCCATTTAAATGCTGTTCTAAGTGAAAGAGAGAGTGCCTTGGAAAATTATTGGTGGTAGAGAAATTATGAGCAAGCTGAATCAAATTAAAAGGATCTAGAAAGATCAAGTAGCTGTATTTTCAGTAGTTTTATAGATCCATAAATGCATAGTTTCTTAGATCTTGCTTTGCTAGATCTAGATGATTCTGAATAATTATTTACTTATAAATACTAATCCAGAACAATAATCTAGAAATTTCCAGAACTTGTTGCTGAATTTTCTCGGAGGAGAAAATTGGCAAAGAAACCCTTAACATCTACCCATTGTGTTTTTCCCATAACGTGGTGTTGCCTTGGACATCAGTGAACAAACAAACCCGTAAGTAGCCAAGACGATTTTCCCTTCCAGCCCCATAAGAGGGGAGCCTCTTAGTTAAATGTACTGGAGGCAGAATTATATTTAATTGTAAACAAATTCCCTCAACAAAAATTACATTTGAGTGGTCTTCTAATTGGCTTATAGCGGCATCTTCAGTTTTCTTACATGTGCAAAATCCATGTTGTTTCAAAAATAGAAGGGTCGTAAAGTAAATAGGCTTCCCCACAGAGCTTATATAGGTATCACACAAAGAGGAGGAATTACTGTACTTCATTCTTTTTAGATTTGTTCTCCATTTGGAATAGCAGTTACCATGGTTTTCACCACGTGAAACAATGGCGTCCTGGTTTTCATTTGTTGTGAGCATTTAACTTGCAAATGCCATTACAACTAATGGTGGGAATAATCCTATAAAATTTAATAGCCATCATAGGAAAAATGTTGGCAGAAAAAGTCCCCAAATGAAAACAGTACAAGAAAAAAGTCACAGCCAGTTTCTTGTCATCTCTGATATCTGCTCAGTGTAACCATTTATCTCAATTATGCCTCATGACTTAAAGCTAAATTAAATAGATCCAAGGGCAATTATAAATTTAAAGATACTTGCTCACTGTCATCTCACTGTGAATTGCCACTTTATTTTGGTTTACTGCTGACTTCAGTCATCAGCTAATCAGAAATCAACCCAAGGTGCCTAGCAAGACCCGTTTTCTTGCACATCACACTTTGCAAAAGACAGCCAGATCTGATCAGCCTAGTTTCCTTTTTGAGCCATTTTTGTATGTTATGAGTTAGGGGCAGGCATCTGGTATTCTTGTATACCAGCATGAAGTATATTCTTGAATGATCAGCATAACATTGATAGATTGATCATAAGTTGCATCTTTTACAAGTACGGAACTTTGATCCAAGATAGTTTAAGAAATTAGTTTTGGTTTTTTTTTTTACTTTAGCGGTAAGGGTTATGAGACTTGGGTTTGTGGCTTAGTATTTATTTACGGTGTAATTTAGAAATGATGCTTTATGGGGATGACATATCTCTGCTTGTCTCACTCGCACATAGTAAATGGGCCCGAGCCTAATGAACGTAAAGCATTGCAACATTTACCAACATGAAAAGTCTAAAATGAAAAACAGTGTGCTTTACCATGGAAGCAAATAGAAATACAAAGTTTCATTTTCAAATGTAGTCATGGCTCACATCACCTCATTTTCTTCCTTCGAGGAGGAAAACATTAACACAAGATGTAGTTGTCCTCCAATTCATTTGATCTAATTTTCAACATCTAAAGAATCCAGCGCTGATGCTCACTCTCATGAACCTTGTCTTACTTATAATGAAAAAGAAGGCAGCCCAGAGTTTTCCAGTGTGTCTGATTTTTTGCATTCTTCTGTTTCCAAAGACATTCTCTTATTTGGGGAAATGATTCTTATGCCGATTGCCGTAATCTGGGAAGAGTCAGGGAGGTAGTGATGGGATATGGCTTCTTCTAATATTAGATTTACATGTGTCCACAATAAACCAGTGCTAGAACATGGAATTCTTTATAATGTGACTTCGGTCATGGCATTCATTCAGTGGTTTAGACTGTGTCAGGGACTGTATCAGGCACTGTTCTAGACTCTGAGGAAATGGTGATGCATAAGACAGAGGAAGTTTATGCCCATTTTGAACTTACATCTAGTGGATAGTTACAGGCAAAAAATTAGATTATTAGATTGAGATCCTGGCAAATTTTATGAAGAAAATAACCAGGGTAATGTGATAGAGAAAATGGGGGAGGGAGTAAGGTGGGGAGGAAAGAACTTCCTGAACAGATGGCATCTGATGAAGAACCATAGGATGAGAAGAAGGCAGGTGGGAAGGGGGCTGTGGAGGGAGTGTTCCTGGAAGAGGGGACAGCAAGCTTGAAGGCAGGAATGAGGCTGATATGTTTGGGGAAGTGATAGATTGATTGCCAGTGGGCTGGAGAGGAAGGAGTGGAGAACAGCATGGGGCGAGGATGAAGGACACAGGGACCTAGAGGGGTCACGTGTACTCTAAGTCTAGTGGGAAGTCCCGGAGGGCTGGAAGCAAGGCAGTAGCCTGATCTGATTTACATTTTTATGAGGTTAGTCAAGGTGCTGTGTGGAAATGAGTTGTAGTGGGGCTGGAGGGTGAGGGTGTGGACAAGAGTGAGGGGTAGAACCAAGCAGGAGGCCATCGTGATACTGGGGATCTGCAAAAGTCCATATCCTGCCAGCTCATGGTGCTCATTACTAGAAATAGTTGTAATTAAGTAGGTTACAAAGTAAAATGGGTGGGTCAGAACTGTCAGGTGGAATACTGGGTTGGTTATCATTTTGCTGGAGAAGTGCACATCCAGTGATATCCTGTGTCTTTTGCAAATACTAAAGCTCCCTTTGACAAAACGACATCATGCTTGTCCTGGTCATCTGTGAAGGACACAAAGCCGGACTGGAAAGCAAATGCATTTTTTTCTTATGACTCACAGATATTAACCCTTTAAGAAAAATGAAGAAGAAAATAGGGCATCCTTGGTTGGTGGTGCTCATACTTGTATAGTAATTTAGGCCAAAAGGAAGCTTCCTCACCTCTAGGCAAACTAAATAGTTGTGTTCACTCTGGGCATTTCCGTAGGAATAGGCCACATAAATATAGGTGAATTAAAGTCTATTTTCACTCTTCTCACTGCCTCTCATCTGGCCAAATGTACATTTCAGATACCCTCGAAAGGTTCACTTGCTGTGATTCCTTCTCTCCAAGAAGGATGGGTCTGGTGCAGCAGCTGGAAGTACATTTCCTTCATTGGGAAGATCATAGTGAGCCTTCTGTTCCACCCAAGGGCATCTGTGGTTATGGTGCCTGCAAACAGCATTCTCATAATCCAGTCTGGATACAGTTTTTATAATGGAACAACAAAAAACATCTGACAGATGTGGGAGGGTAATTTGAAAGCTAGATGGCACAAAGAAATCAAGT